ATTATTTATATCCTTTTCAAACAAAAAAATATCTCACACGTTTTTGATGCTTTCGCGCGTAGACGATTCTTTTTGCTATCGATATACACATCTTCAACATAACGATGGGCAGCACTATCGTTATGGTGCCTCACAGCACTGCAAGGCCGTTACATGACCGGCAGCAAAACAAACGAACAGCTGTTTGCGGCGTGCAGTGAAAAAGAAAAATACTAGCTGAAGAAATGTTACAGAATCTTTCGCTGCTGCTGCGCAGCCACTCACGCCGGCACTATGCCAAAGCTGCCATCAAAGTGAAGACGATAGAAACTGAAAATACGAAACCACTTATAAGCTGCCGGCGCACACAATTCAATCTGCTGCAACATGAACGAGCGGACGCGAAGTTTGGAACAATTCCACTGTGCTCCAAGGGCTGGCTACACAGTAAATCCAAAAACGACCACTTCACACTAAATCCGACAGTTACCAGCGAGCAGCGGAAAGCGGAGATGCAGAGCTTGAGTGAATTCCTAGACACATCACAAATCCAAATGCACCCACAGCTTCTGGAGAACCTGCAACAGCAGCTGGGTATCCAGCAACTGACAGGCATTCAGGCGCAAGCATTGCCCGTAGTGGATGCTAGCTTTCACACGTTAATTGCCGCCGAGACAGGCTGTGGCAAGACACTCGCCTACCTGTTGCCCATACTCAATAAGACGCTCAAGCAGCAATCTTCAGAGAAAGACAAGCTAAGATTAAATACGCCAAGGATATTGATACTGACGCCTGGACGTGAACTGGCCACACAAATTTCACAGGTAGCTCAGAAGCTGTGCACGGATACGGAACTAAAGGTGAAGGCGCTGCTGGGTGGCAACACGAAGCAGTTGATGCTGAATCCACAGTTCGCCGAGGTGGACATATTGGTGGCAACACTGGGCGCAGTCAGCAAGCTGGTCACAACGGGTATCTATCACATGGACCAAGTGCGCCATGTGGTGTTGGACGAGGCAGACACGCTGCTGGATGACTCCTTTACAGAAAAGCTCACCTACTTCTTGAGAAGATTTCCCGTAAGTGTCGAGTTTTTTAAAAGATTCAGCTTCTAAAGTTTATCCCCCAACAGTTTCACAAAAATCATGTACAGGACCCGAACGTTGTAGGCACGCAGTTGCTGCTCGCTTCGGCCACCATGCCCACAAATACACGAGAGATTCTGCAAAGGGTCATCGACGTGGAAACCATAAGGGAAATTGTCAGCCCGAATCTTCATCATCTAATGCCACATGTTACGCAGAAGTTTCTCCGCATGGCCAAAGCGGATCGGCCAGCCAATTTGTTATCCCTGGTCAAGCGCGATCTGGCTAAACGGCGTCCACTTATCGTGTTCAGCAATAAGTCAGCTACGAGCGACTATGTCTCCATATTCTTGAATAACAGCGGCATCAATTGCCTCAACTTGAATGGCGATATGTTAATGAAGATTCGCATTGGCCGCTTCGAGGAGTTCCAACGCGGTGAATGCGATGTTCTGTCCACAACAGATGTGGGCAGTCGTGGACTGGATACGACGCGAGCACGTCATGTGGTCAACTTTGACTTCCCGCTGCACGTCTCCGACTATATACATCGATGCGGACGCATTGGACGCGTGGGCAGCTTGGATAATTCGTTAGTCACGAACTTCATTTCATCCCGCCGAGAAATCGATGTCGTGCAGCGCATAGAGCATGCGGCACGCACTGGAGGATTGCTGCCCGATGTGAATGCTAATATTAAGAACATTATCAACAAGCGCATCATAGCGGACATGAAGGAGGCAGGCCTGCCGGTGCCTCAAGAAGATGCCTTCTAGTAAATCGTGTTACAATAAAGTTGTATCTATTAATTTGAACGTATGTGTACATGATTTTATTGCCACGCCTTAGATGCGCAAGTAATGGTAGCCACTGTTGGGCAACAGGCGCCTCACATTGCTTGGCGGCTTGTAGATCTTACGCTTGGCAATGAGTATATCGGAGTGCGCCATATCGTTGGCCCCGTTCGTTGACGGCGAGTCCATAAACTGCATAGCCCCAACGCCCTTCGGCTTGAGTAGAACGGGCCGACAGCCGGCGAATTTGAAGCGTATGGTGCCGGTGCAATTCAGTCGGAGATTCGGCAGCACCAGCTCTGGAAACGCCTCGAGCATTGTGGGCTTCGGTTTGATCGCCTTGCTGGGATCGTCGCCATGGCACATGGCTGCAGCCAGAGTGCTCCACTCTAAGCGACGCACGCCTGGCTGCGGCTCGAATCGGAAAGCGGGCTGTCGGGCATTCAGATAGCGCTTGGAGATCATCTTCTCTAATACGTCTGAAAACAAAGATATTAATATTTATGAAACACATTATTACAGGGCATCTACTCACTCGCATAGTGCACCATGAAAGGCTGTAAGCTGGCCGCACCGCATCCAAATTCCAGCCACTCATACAAGTGTATGTCATCACGTCCTCCTAGGAATATGGCAGCTGGTGCCAAATCCCGCCACAGGCTGTCGGGCATATCATGCACATTCAGCTTGTATATATAGGGTATAAACTCTCGGAACGCATATTCACCCAATGCAATAAGCCCACGTACAGCGCGACTAATGTACTGAAAATCTGTAAAAATACATATTAGTAAAGCTAATACATAAATATATATTTGTGTAAAATTCGTACCACGTTCGCTACACACGACCCGACCTTCAAAAAATCTCGCCAAGCGTCGCTTAATCAGAAACAAGCATTCGGAATGCAAATATCCACTCTGTGCCGCCATTTGACCGAGAGTCTCGCAAAGCTCATCCACATATCCACTGGCCACGGGACTGGCAAAATAGCTGGAGAGCTGCTGTGGCTCGTCCTGCAGCTGCTTCTCGGCAGCTTCGCTGCTATCGTCATCTAGCTGCAACTTGTATATAGTCTGCTCCTGCGTGGCATCACTGGTGATGGTAATATCAGGAATTGGCTGTTGCGCTGGGTGCTGCGCAGACTGCTGTTCCTGCTGTTGAGTTTCAAGGTCCATGCCTTGATTTCCGTATTGTTCACTCTGTATATCGCTGCCCAGACCCGGCTCCAGCTTAAGCTCTCTATCCAGCTCCATTGCAACTGGCACATGCTGTGACTGCGGCCGGCTATCGGTCACCTTGATGGTCTCATATGGCGCCATTAGCTGACTGATTAGCACCTCGGCCAGGTTGAAATACTCCGGCCGACAATTGATGTGATTCGCCAGCGGATTGTAGTTACAAGCGCGCAGTAATCGCCAGCAGCGCTGGCTCACCTGATCGTGCTGCTTAAAGGCCAGCATCTGCAGCATTTTGCTAATAATGACGCGATAGCAGGCGCCCATCAAAGGCGTTTGGAAGGCCTGCGAAATGGCTACTCCACGTGCCTGCGCATCGCCAAAAATTGCAGCTAAAAGAAGGTTGGTCAGATAAACAATCAGTACACCTGCCAAAACCATTTACCTGTTACCAAACTCTGCACAAACTGCTTTAAGTGTTCTGTATTCTTATCCTCCACCGGGCAGATGCAATGGAAATCCGCGCCATTTGGCAATGAGAGTGCAATATCTTTTTGAAACTCATCGCGTAGCTCAAAAATTTTATCCGAATGAAAGAAATAGCTGCCATCATAATCAATGCAATCCCAATCACTGTCCATAGCACCGAGCATGGGCGGCACATCCGCATCCTTGAGCACCTCATTGACTAGATCGTAGGTGACCACGCCGCCCGAGTGACGTGAGTAAATTTTGACATTCTGTGGAATTATGTTACAATGAAACGTAATTTAAATGATAACATCAATGTGCTTACATTTATAAGCTCCCAGATTTTGTAGGATACATCCTCTGCTAGGCGGGCGCAAACATCTTGCGATAGTTCAACATCTGTTTGATCATGTTGTTCCCAGAAGATTTTTATGGTACGCGGATCAAAGCCGGCGTACGTCTTATGGTGGCCCTGCAATGTAAAGCATATTTAAACAAATTTCAACAGCTGTCCAACTTACACACTCACAGTTTTGCCGGAACTGTTGGTCATTTCCATTCCAACACCTTGTGCATGTCCGGCCACGGCAAAGGATGCATCAAATAGATTATAGTTACTTAATGTGGTAGTTGGTGTCGTGGGCGTTGTGACCATGTTAACATGAGTGGGCGTGGCTGGTAAACTGGTCATTGGTACACCAACATTGGCGGCTGAAACCGAATTCTTGCTGCTAGTTTCCAGTTTGGTATTTTTTGAACGAGATTTCGTAGACTTTTTGTTTATTTTGCCCAATGAAGATTTGGCCGGCTCCTCCGACGAGCCACCGCCGGTTGTTTTCATCTTGTTTTCGTACTTTAAAAAATTGATTTATTTAACTGTTGCAGCTGCTGAACTCTGTTAGCGACATTTAATAAACAAAATTGGACAACAGCTGATCGAAGAATCTATCGTTTGTGGCGGTCAGTCAATAAATAATCGATACTTTGATAATCTAAACGATATTTTTATGGTAAACACTTGAACAGTTGTTGGCGCATAATATATAATTGCTTCTTAATAAATAAGAAAGGCGGCACAACAAAACCTACCCGCCATGGCTGAGGCCGCCAATGTGCGTCAAAATCTGCAGAATGTGCCCTCGATTTTTGAAATTTCGGCCGCAGAGACACTAGATAACCTTATCTATCCGGCCCTTAGCAAAGTCTTCGACTATTTTGGTCTTCGTTTGGACTTTAAGCTTTGGGGCAATTTGCATGTACGAGAAGAGGTATCACCGATTATCACATGGATTCTACAGTATTTGTATTTGCGCAAAAGGGCCTCCTCTTTCGGCGAAAGCTTTTATGGACTACAACGCACGGCCACCGCCACCGGTGAGCTGCTCACCCGCCAACAGCAATTCACTTCTGCCACTCTTCTGACTTTTCTGCCGTACATAGAGCGTAAACTGCGTTCTCGAAGTGCGCAGCATGAGAATACATACGCCTGGGAATCACAACTGATTAATTTATTTCACGTTTATAATGCCTCGAAAGCAATACACACATTCCTGTATCTGATAAAGTATGCGAAGAGCCACTCGCCGCTGTTTCGCGCTCTACGTCTCACGCTTCGCTATCCCAGTGAGCCGCCGAAGGAGGACAAATGGACGTACATATTCCTTAAGATGCTCGAGGTGCTAGCATTTTTCCTGCAGTTCATACAATGGTGGTACTCCAACGATCAGCGTCGGAAGCTAGGCGGAACGCTACAGAACCCGCAGGCCATGCCCGAGCGTGAGTTACCCAAGGAGCTGAAGAACACGTTACCCAAGAATGGAGAATGTCCTGTTTGCCTGCTGCCACTGCAAACGCCTACAGCTTGCGCTGTATCTGGTTACGTCTATTGCTGGAAATGCATTGTCACACATCTAAAGGAGCAGGGCACCTGTCCTGTGACTAGTTATCCAATCACCATAGAGGATTTAGTGCGCATCTATGAGACGTAACCAAGATATATGTATATATTGTATTTGTTTTGTATTAAAGTGTTTTTCATATTTTAAAACCCAGTCTCAGATGTTCCTCATATAGAATCCATTTCTTCTGCTATGGCATATATATAAGTTGTGGAAGTCGAGATTTGATGTCCATACATAGGCCATATTAGTTAACATCAATATGTGTTCACATATCGCGAAAAGGGAATATACTGAAGAGAATAGGGAGAGTATATATTAGATAGAGCTATCTACAATATATACAACCATACCCAAAGGCACACAGAATTCCACATGCAAGAAATACAATGGCCAAATGACGACACTGGCTGATAAGTGGAAGAAGAACAGTTTACGCTTGAGCAGATATGAAAGACGGTGGTGGGGTTCCGTATTCTGGCTGTAAGCCATACAATAAACCATGGTGGCCATGAAGCAGCAGCTAGTTATCCAACTGCTAAGCGTTGGCACCACATGAATCCAATTGGAACCCGGTTTATCACCGAACTCCGCAATGACAATATTGGAGACAATATTCACAACGAAGCAGAGCACAAAGAGGTAGATCAGCAGGCCTGAGCGTCGAGACAGCACGCGTTGCTGATAGCGGCAATATAGCCATGCGATGAGCAGACGCAGTGGTAGATGAGACCAAGTCAAGAGCTTCCAGCTGGATTGATTGAACTGAATGACCGCCGACGCGGTTGGCACAATGTGCAGTACGTGGCAATGCGTAATCGTAGATCTCTCATAATCCACCATGATGGTCTTCAGCAGGGTAAAAATGGTTAAGACAATCATGAAGGAGCAACCAAAATGCAGCAGTAAACCGACTGAGATTCTGCAGCGCGAGGCAACACTAATCTCCAAGTCCTTGGCCGAGATTGGCAACAGCTTGACCCGATCATGCATGTTTATATGTGCATGCAATTGTTGTTTTTGATTGACACCTATATTTTTGTATACTTAAATTAAAGTTTATTTGATTTCAGACTGACAGAGAAATCAGGAAATTCTTAAGTTAAATTAAGTAAACTTTGAGCTTAAGCTAGAACCGCACAATTACAATATATACAGGAATACAAGCCGATGGACGCTGAACGTTCCTTTAACTAAGTCGAGCTAATAGCGCATTATATGCAATCCATTCCGGGTATCGCAGTGAATGCTGAACGAGTGAAAGTCCCAACAAGCTGTCATATGGAAGCCCATATTGGTTAGCACCACAATGTACTCGAAGAGCGCGAAGAACGTGTAAACTATGAAAAGGAAAATTACTTGAATTAGTGATGGACTATCCAGGAGAGTATCGAATCTATATCGAAAGCTTACCGCCAGCCTCACAGCGTGCGTTGTGCCGCATGAAACAGTAGCCGGCGAGGCCAAAGGCAAGCACATTGATCAGGAAGAGATTTCGCTTGTAGCGTAACGATTTCTCTTCGTGTGGCAGGAGAACGGATTTGCGTGCACTCCTATTTAATAGATAGGATAGCAGCATATAGCATTCACTGCACGCTATGAACACCACAAACGAGTTCCGATGGATCTCATAGTTGTCCGCCGATGTCCACAACGATAGGCAGAACAGAGCAAAATTCTCGATGACATTCAGCGTGCAGGCCAGGATGCCAAACATACGACGATTGCGCTTGATGTGCTCCCTATAGTACTCCAAATACATGCGGGTCACAGTCAGGCGCAATGGCAGATGCAGGATGATGGCCAAGCGCCAAACCGTTTTCTGTGGCTCATAATTTCCAATTGCCGCCGACACCGACGGCAAGTAGTTGGCCACGTCGCAATGCGTAAACGTGGAGCGTGCAAAATCAAATACCAGAGACCACACTACACAGAAACAAAACGCGCTCAACGGCAAACTGAGTGCCGTCAACGCTAGCCGGGCAAATGTTATGTGAAAGAACACCCGTTTGGGATCGTTCAGACGCTCGTATGTGGGCAACATGGTTGGCGGGCGAAGCTTTATCTTTAATTTATGGCTCTCCGTGGCGTCTCCTCATAACTTCTACACGCCCTATTGTTGCCGCAATCAGCTTTTAACCTTTTGGCCGAAGAAACATCTTTAATTGCAGCGCCAGCGCGTAAACAAATGAAAAAGGCTAGTATGCAGCTGCAGAAAATATCTTGCAGGTGGAAATAAGCTCATCATCAATATATCTAATTATTATGGGGTATTGTTTCTGAGCATTCATTTAATCAAATAAAATAATTATAGTTGTAAAAATTATATTTTGTATATTTATCTAATTAATTATGTATTGCAGCATTTAACCACTATGGTTAGTGACTTAACTGAATATTAAAGCTTCATGAGCTACATACTGACTTTAATATCCATATATCGATATGCATTGTCATGATATCGTGGTGGTATCGATACTCCAGCGTATGTTATGCCAAAAAAAAAAAAAAAAAACAGATCCCAAAACAACGCGCTCTTTTAATTTATTGTTTTATGAGAAAAGTACCGCAATAACATGGATATACTTTTGGCAAACGTAAACAGCCTGCAGTTCAAGGCAGAGCGCGATCTCATCGAACAGGTGGGAGCCATACCACTGCCGTTCTATGGCATGGACAAGTCCATTGCCGCCGTCTGCAATTTCATCACAAAAAATGGCCAGGAATGTGACAAAGGCAGCGCCTGCCCCTTCCGGCACATTCGTGGCGATCGTACCATCGTCTGCAAGCACTGGCTGCGTGGCTTGTGTAAAAAGGGCGACCAGTGCGAATTTCTGCACGAGTACGACATGACGAAAATGCCGGAGTGTTATTTCTATTCCCGCTTCAATGCCTGCCACAACAAAGAGTGCCCGTTCCTGCATATCGATCCACAGAGCAAGGTAAAGGACTGTCCATGGTACAAGCGTGGTTTTTGCCGACATGGGCCGCACTGTCGACATCAGCATCTGCGACGTGTGCTATGTATGAACTACTTGGCTGGCTTCTGTCCTGAGGGACCCAACTGCAAACACATGCATCCACGATTTGAGCTGCCGCCCCTCGCCGATCTCAGCAAGGATCAGACGCACAAAAAACTACCCACGTGCCACTACTGCGGCGAGCTCGGCCACAAAGCGAACTCGTGCAAACAGTATGTGGGCAGCCTGGAGCATCGCAATAACATCAATGCCATGGACCACAGTGGGGAGAATAATGATGATGGTGCTCCGAATCATCCGCCGCCGCCGTTTATCAAAGTGCCCACGCCTCTAGAGGAGATCACCTGCTACAAATGTGGACACAAGGGCCACTATGCCAACAAGTGCCCCAAGGGTCATCTGGCCTTCCTATCGAATCAACATAGTCATAAATAGTTGTAAGCCCTGCATACCCTCTTGTACAACTAAGAAATCAGTTAATAGTACAGATTAAATCTTCCGTCAAACCATCATGCATGTCAAACGTCATACATTCCAGCGATACCACAACGATAAATCATAGTTTCCACTGGGTTATATTGACAGACATAATTGCTTCGCATATACTTCGTTGAAATACATAGTTTCTTTTTACAAATACCTTTCACGTTAAGCAAAATTAGATGAAATGCTTAAATATACAGAATCTTCAAATTTTCTATCGTACGACAAGCTATCGATACAATATACGAAACAATAGATGAATCTTCGAAACCGACTGCAGAGTAACTTACAATTGATTTATATAATGCAATAGTCCAACTCATTAATATATAGTATAAGAAATTCTTGTATATATCAAACGTTTACGTTGAAAAGAAATCCAAATATTTGCGTTTATTGCTATCGATAATAAATGAATCGCTACTCATCGTAACTGCAAACAAGTGAAAATATATCGCTTAGCTGGCTACTTGCCTACTCAGTTTGCTGCGCAACACAAAAACAAAGTGAAAAATATAATTGAAGAGTAAACATCACCTAAGTGTAGTTTATATAAAACGTCTAGGCATCATATTTTCGGTCATCTCAAAATAAAAATTCGAAACTAAATTGCTCAAAAACCCAGGAACACACTTTGAACGTCGGAAAAAATGACGATTCTGGCAAAATTAACAGGTGAAAAAAAGGATTTGGAGAAGGTTCCGCTTCCATTACATCTCAACGATGAAGCTATTATGCATCATGGCTCACTGATCAGTGTAAGTAAATGAAGATAGAAAACATTTTCTTTTGCGCAATAGTTTCATGTGTCCTTGCGAGCCCCATATTTTCTACATGTCCTTCGTGCCCATAGCTCTACAAGTTTTTTTTCGCTTTCGTTTGCCTTCGCGCGCGAGCCTTTGTGTGTGTATGTGTGTGAGTGGGTATGCGCTTGTGGGCGTTTGTTACTGTAAGATTTTCTATATACATGCAAAAGTATGTATGTGTGTTTGTGCTTTCGACAGCATGCATATTTATCGATTTTTCACATGAAATTCCCATGTGTGTGTCCTTGCACTCCTTCCTTTGCTCCATTTAAGGTCGCACAGCTTTGGCATTGCCAGTCGCCAGCACGATTTCGGTTTACCCCGACAGCTCATCATCCATTCCAAACTCCCTCTTTTTTAAGCCCAAATATATATTGCATTATGCTTTTGTGCTTATTGTGAATGATTCCAGTACATGTCTTCCAGTAGTATATGTACATATGCTTGTATGTATGTATGTATGTATATGCATATGAATAGATTTGTATATATAGACATACGTATGTAGATTCATACATAACTGTGTGCGTGTGCTTTTGCGAATATGCATTTTGCAGCTGAGCACAGACACATACATACATATGCATTTATATCATTGCATTTACGTTTTGTTACTCTTCGTCTCCAATTGCGCCGCTATTCGAGCACAACAGCAACTTTTTGCCCTTTGCTCGTCAGCGATAATAACTGCGCACCAAAACGACACATGTAAATAGCTTATATAGTGTTGATAAAAAGTAGAGAATGCTAGCCAAACAAACAGCTAACAACGGAAAAATGCTAGTCATAAATATTTTATGGATAGCTGTATGATAAAAGGTTTACAAAATGACGAGCTGTGAAACAATATATGCAATATGTATAAATTTGTTTAATGTAGCCATTTCACAATTACCGTTAGCTATTTTTGCAGTAAAAATGCTAAACTAAGGAGCTAACTTAGCAGCACTGATCATTTTATTTTTTTTTCGTATCTATTTACGTACATATATACATACATATGTACATAGGCATTGTTTACTTTCTTTTGTACTTTATTGACATTTTCATGTGTCCTTTTGATATGTGATAAGGAAATCCAAAACAATAATACTTCTGCCGGTGCTGAAGTACATACATATATATGTACTTGTATACATATACCGTAAGTACTCATTGAACAGTTGAACCCCATCTGTTGGTATTATTAGTCATTGGAAATAACAGTAGTTGCTATAAAAAGAATGAGTCTGGGGTATACCACGTACACATATCTAGTTATAGATATTTATTTACACACTAAATAAAATTAAACTGAGCTTAATTATGTACATAAATATAATAAAGTATGATTGTCATTGTTATCGTTCTTTAATTGCAGCCAAAGGGAACGTACAGCGATGCCGATACTGAATCAATGGTTTTCAATCGGCCGCAATATAATTGCCTAAAATCGTTTCTTTTGTTCCTGATCGCCATTATCGTGATGCTAATGGGTGTACTGGGCGGCTGGACACTTTATCGTTTATATGCCCCAAATCATTCCAGCATGCGCTATCACGCCCTCTGCGACATACCATATAAGGAAGACTCGATGGAATTGCCACGTTTCTATGCACGCAACGACGACTCTTTCGCATTGAACTGGCGCTCCCTATTGCCCCAATTGTCGGGGTCCCCAAGTGCGGGCAACAGTATGGGCGGCCAGTTCGATGAGCTAGTCAACGATAATTTCTTCCGCGAGGAAATCGAGTTGAATAGCGGCGATGACGATGGCTATGCCAAGATCGATGTGCCGGACTTTAAGGATGGTCGCCACGGGCGCTTCATGCATGACTTCAAGGAAAACCAGTCAGCTATTATTGATACCACCACCAATCGGTGCTTCATCATGCCACTGGACCGGGACACCACACTTCCACCCAGCAGCTTTGTTGATCTTATGCAGAAAATGGGATCAGGCTACTATAACATTGATACGGAGCGGGTTCGCCGTAATATGCGTGTCATTACACCACGTATCACCGATCTCTCGGTCATCTCGGAACGCATAGCCAACGAATGCTATGACATGAAGGTGTACATGATGGAGAAGTTTGTATCTGGGGGTAAGTCTTGACTTGTATTCTCCAGTTGGCATGGCCGACCCTTTACTGTAACACATTTCCTTAACGAAACTTTTTGCTTTTCAGTGGCCAAGCGCTCGGCTGATCCTCTGCCAGATGCCGGCAAGTATGCAGCTTTCATGGGAAAGGGCGTGGTTGAGTATGATCTGTCAAACATAGCCGAGGTCGAGGCCTACGAGGCGAATGAGGCCCAGCAGCATCAGGCCGCCTAGGCTCCAATTGGTCGTATGCTCCAAATGTTTTAAATTATTTACATAGAAAAAAAAAAAACAAAACGAAACTGAAAGCAAAAAAATACGAATGGACAGCAACCATAACAAAGACAAACAAAATAGTATTGATTTCTGTAAGTGTGTGTGCGTGTGTAAACAAAATGATCTGTAGGCAACTGCCTCAACTTTTAGTCTGTAGTTCGACTTTGGGATAGACGCGTGATGAATTTTCGATTTAGAGGCGACTTCGGTTTAAAAACACGTAAATATCAACATGATTTCTGCAATTTTAATTATATGTGTCATATTGCAATCTTAATATTTATATGTATTAATATAATGTACGTATATATGTATATGCAGACATTATTATATATATATACTTATATATGTATGTGTAATTTTGATTTATTTAAATTTGCATTGCCTTACAGCTAGCTAATTGAATTTTTAAATTGAATGATTAGTTTTAAATTAAGATTTCATTTACAAAATATGATATTTTATCTCTTTAATCGGAACACAATTATCAATTACTCCGCTTGCCAAATAACAATAAGTAAATATTTAATTTAAATTTATTAATTTTGCGAATTGGGTTTTAATTAGTTTCAAATTAAGTATACGATATGTTAGCAAAAAAAACTTAGTAAATTCTTTTAATTATTTATAAAATTGAATTATTAATTAGCCTAATTTACTTTGCCTAATGCACATGTCATGTATTCTTAAAATAGCATTTTCAAGTCGCGTCGGGTCGTACGTGTTCGTATCAATAATCGCAAAATTTGTAACGCGTTTATCCTTAAGGGCGATGTAACCATGCTTATCAACTGTTAACAGATCGTATTGTATTGGCCAAGTGGCTCGACGAGCTGTCCACGGCTCGTTGGGCTCAATAATAACAATAAACGAAAAATCATATATAACGATAAAATAAAATGAAACCCTGTTAAGAAATGTACCTAGAAAGCAATTAAATGCGATTGACGAAATTGTGACAAATACTAAAGAAACGAAAAATAACAAACAAAAGAAGAGAGAGTGCGATTTGGGCTTGGAATGTAACTGAGGGGATAATATGTAGAATTTTAGGATTCCAGCAACTTTCTATTGTATATGAGAATAAAGGGTAAACCTAACAAGAAATTAGAAATATAATTAAACACCCAAATCCAACTTGAAACATATATGAATAATAAAATACACACTGCATTCGATTCCAAGTACATATTTTATATTATATATACTCTTTAACTCTATAAACTATAAATGCGTACGCGTGCTAAACAAATATTTATATAGACGAAAAATCGAACAGCAAAAAATAATTAAAAATCCACAGCTATTTACATTTGCTAACGAAAGAAAGAAAGAAATTGTCAACATTATCAGAAAACTAAAGATAAAAGCAAATTAATCTAAATGTTCTTTAATCGATTTCAATGTATTAAAAACGCGAATTTGTGATCTTTAAATCGATTTGGTTTATTTTAATTTTTTTAAATATGTGGTTTGCATAGCGCTATAGTATGATCCACGCCGTAGGCCACCTTTAGAACCTTGCCATTGATGGCCGCCTTGAAGGGGAAGAACTGATCCTTCTTGTGGCCTAGGCCCAGGTGGCCAAAGCGATTCTTGCCCCACATAAAGAGATCTCCGTCGGAGTTCACGGCGCCCATGTGAAAGACTCCGCAGCCGATGGAGACCACAGTGGTTGCATTGCTGAAATCGTTTCGACCGAATAGCGGTGGCAGTAGGTGCTGCGGCTTTGAAGTTTGCTCCACAAACGGGCCAAAGCCCAAGATGCCATAGCCCCAGGTGTAGACGAGGCCCTGGTCATTGAGTGCCATGCAAAAGGAACCGCCCGCTGCCACATCCTTGACCTTGCCCAGGCCCTTGGTCAGCGTGAGCGCTCGAGGTGTGCAGATCTGGGTCACTGCATCCGGCGCATCATCTAGTTGACCATACTCTGAATTGCCCCAGCCAAAGACATCGCCCTTCTCGTTGAGCGCCAGCACACAATCAGATGCGCAGGCAATGCGCACAATGCGCTCCTTCTCGATGTCGCCGCCTATGAGCGTTATCTGGCCAGCGCTGTAGTAGTTGCCCTGACCCGTCTGGCCGTCGGCACCCCAGCCGCAGGTGTAGACGCGCCCCAGCTTGCTCAGCAGCATCGTATGATCCTGTCCACACTCCACGGCAACAAGCTCATCGTCCGCTCCGCAAATATCGCGCTGGGCAATGCGATTGATCAGCGCACTGCCCGAATATTTCTCCTCTTCGATAATGGAACGGCCGCACTGTCCATACGAATTGTTTCCCATGGTGAAGACGGTGCCATTCTGCGTGAGCACCACGAGATGTGCTCGACCTGCCGACATGCTCTTCACCTGCATATCCTCATCCGTTTCGCCCTGCAGGCGTGGCAGCTGTATTGCTGTTGGATAGATAATCACATCCAAATTAGCCGGATCCTTTTTATTGCCCTTCACTTGGTAGCCCAGCTGTGAGTCTGTGTTGAGGCCGCTACCAAACAGAGTCAGCCCATCCGAACGCTTCACTGCGTACGCCGTAAAGCCATAGCCGGCTGTGACATCCGTGATTTCATTATTATTCGAGAACTGCAGCCTCGTTGGATGATGCACCATTTCCGTGTATCGCTCTTTGGCCTTCTTCACATTGGTTTGCAGCCCCAGAGCGCCTGTCTCCTGGAAGCCCCACACGTAAACCCGATTTGCATGCGCATCGGTTGTGTTTGGTTCATAATCTAAAATGAAAACAACTGACTTACAAATGCAAATGCAACGTGCTTAGCCGTTATACTTTTTATTTTGCTCTGATCTTGTGACAGGACCACACGCTTTGCTTTTGTTGTATACTGACGACTTAAATGGACACTTGCCCACTTTGATGATCTTAATATTTTGAAACTTAACATACTTAGCGGTTACTAATATAAATGAGTTGAATACACCGATCCGAGTGCATTGATTATGTACAATAATAAACCATTTATCGATATACATTTTGGTATTTTTGCGTTGTGGTATTTTTCAATTTTTAATGTGTATCGCATCGATCTATATTAATACAATGTTAATAAAACAATGAGCACCCAAATCTCAACAGCTGTTTTTCCATTACCTCTTTACAGGATAATTAGCATAAAAGATAAAAATTTGTTTGCACAATCTTGCGTTACTAAAACAGTATCATCACTAGCACGAACTTATTTATGTATCGATGCCACAGCTGTTTAATAAAAGTACTCGATGCATTCGAGACAGAAATATCGATGTGGGCGACACATTATTGCTATCGAAATTGTAGAGAGCGACGAAGAAGTAGCTCCGGTAAAATTGATAAAAAGAGTTGTTCGACCGCGAAATAATTCTTAGAAATTATTGAATTGCATTCATTAAATACCTCGAAGTACGGTTGCGTCATTAACGATAAACGAAAGGTGTTGAAAAAAAAAACAAACGTCTGTACCCAGTGATTTTCGACTGCCCAACATAATATATATAGATATATAAGTATATATATACATACATACGAACAGATGTACACATAATGTACACTTAAAGTAATATTATTACAGTGAACGAGTGTTAAGTGCAAATATAGTGTGTGGCAGGCGCCTGAAAAAGATTGGAATATTGTTCGGAGTTCAGTGAAGAAAGTGCATTTTTATATGGTCGCTTCTGCTGCTGCACAAAGGGCTGGGGCCGTTGGCTGCTGCTAGGAGTTGCCGTCGTCATCGCAGTCGCCGTCGCAGTCGCCAAAAACTTTCGTCGTCTCCGGTAGGTACACACAAAATATACTGCTGCTCCTGTTTAGCTCCTGTTTCTTGTCTCGCTCTCACACGTTCGCGTTCTCCGTCTCCATCTCTCTCTATCTCTGTCCTTTTTGCTCTCTCTCTCTCTCTCTCTTAAAAGTGCTCGTATTTGTTATGTTTGGTTTCACTGCTCTCAGCATTTCCATATTTATCGATTAACAGTGCCGTTTCGATGTACACCGAACGGTACATTTCCCAGGATAACACACAAATATAGGTGTTTAGAAAAGGAAGCGAAATTTGCGTATCTGTCTATGCTCTCTTGCACTTTCACAGTTGCTCTCTTGCGGTCGCGTCGCTCTGGCTGCGTGCGCGACAGCAACCCCCATTCGACCTACCCATGCTCTCTCTCTCCTTCTTATTTAGTCTCGCTCTAGCATTTCTCATTGAGCACAATCCTTTTTATGCAACGCCTGCTCGTTCATGTTTTCTTTCCGTATAAGCAGGCTTCTTTTGCAGTTTTTGGTTACCAGGGTCGTTCGTCGCCATGCACACCGCCCGTAGCTATATATGTGTCAGCAATCTGTTTTCGCCTCAGTCCAACCCCCAACCCCAAGCCCTTATGCACCCAAACAACCACCGCCCGAACTCTAGATGCGCAGTTCACTTCGGGGCACAATTCAACCCACGACCCAAAATCCACATGTCACACAGGTTTCTCTTCTCGCTCAGCTTCAATTCTAAAATCCAGAACTCTAGCGACAACAACAACAACAGCTGCGCAAAATAACTAAATCAACTCGAACGTACTGAATGGAGTTCCGTTCTTCTTTTCTAACAGTGTTGCCGGCATAAGCTATAAAAGGCTAAATTTATATATGTAAATGTCTGGAAAATAGCTAAACTCTTATCTTAAATCTATGGACAAAAATTGTGAATTTGGCGAGTTCTTAAACGAAAGGTCTGTAGTCTTTGTTATGCAAAACAGCTAGCGGATAAAAATAGTCCCAATTTAGTCATAAAAATTCTAGAAACAATAGCTGAGACACTAAATTCGAACTATGAATGACGAGCTAACGAGAGCTTTCACTCAGAGTTTAGTTAGAATTTAATCAGCTTTCCAGCAACTCAACTTTTTAATGAGAAGAATTATGCGACAATTAAATTATCAACATTGTTACACAAAAAGAAAGGGAAATAGTTAATCAGTTTCTAGCTAAAATTATCTAACATTTTAGCTGCACTCTCTGAGAGGAAGACCGTGGGTCTCTCGTTCCATAAACAGCTATATAGCTATTACGTAGCTAAAGTGTCAGCGCTGTCCCACAGTGGCCATGCCCACATAATATACGAGCACATAGAGACGGAGATGCATATGCATCTAAATATACTTATATGTTTACAGTTTTATGCCCGAGCTGGCTGCGTCTGCGGCTGCCCTTTTGCCTTTGATAAGGCTGCGTCCTATCCCCACATCAATTTTTCTTGTCGATTTTGAGTGCATTTCGGTGGCCCATTTTCAGTGATTTAAGAGTTTTGACGCCCCTAAAAACT